AAAACAATTTAAACGCATGCTCATTTAATTAGTTCTTCGGTCCTCTAAAATAGATTCCATTATGTTTATCATCCAATATTTACCTTGTTAACTGCAAACATGCCAGCATCACTGCATCGTTCATGCATCGTTCATGCCTCCGGAAGTACAATCGGAATAAGTACGGAATCGTGGACCTCTCCGTCAAAATTTGGATCAATCGCATCTTCACGGCCCTTTCCGTCAAACTTCGGATAGAAGCACCATCTAATCTGGTTCCCTGTCCTATTATGGTTCCCATCCAAGATGAAGTACTTTTTAGAAGTTCGCAGGGGACCAGTCTACATCGGGCATAGCATTCGGAACTGCCTCGGCTATTATCTATAACAAATCTCTTTATAATTTGCCATTTTGTAGTATTTTGTTTTTACATATTATTTGCCATTTTGTATTATTTTGTATGTATGTACTGTTTTATGTTGTCACATGCCCATATGGGCCCTGACGTATTCAAATAAACCTTGAAACCTACGCAGTGATCTCCCCTTATCAGTACACAATTCTGCCAAGGGAGGTAATCACTGTGAGGAGTTTGATCTATAAAAAGTAAAAAATTGCTGGGAAATACAGCAATACGATTGTCACGGCGAAAAACAAAAAACAACCCCCCCCCCCCACACACACACACACACACACACACACACAAACAACAACAAAAAACAGTTAAATATATTGATAAGGTATCTCCAAATATCATTGTGTTGAATTGACATGTTAACTTGTTCAGAAGGTTTTTAAATATAATAATGTAACTTGTTGCAAGAGCCATGTTTATGTAGTAGAGCAGAATAATTATCATTCTTGTGTACTCACGCCCGGCAAACTGTCACTCCACTTCAAAATTGTGGTGTACGGTAAAACGAGCGAACGGCATTTCCGAGATAGAGTGGAACACAGACGCTTGGGGGTCAGATCCTGCCCCCCAACGTGATACGCCCCTGTAAACACTCTACCAAAACTATTTTAATATTTAAACACGAATTGTACATCTGTTACAACGATAAAAATGGTTTTCAAACAATTTTTACGTATATGAAAAAAATACCGTATACCATCAAGTCTCAGTACTTTATTGAGACTTGATGGTATACGGTATTTTTTTCATATACGTAAAATTGTTTGAAAACCATTTTTATCGTTGTAACAGATGTACAATTCGTGTTTAAATATTAAAATAGTTTTGGTAGAGTGTTTACAGGGGCGTATCACGTTGGGGGGCAGGATCTGACCCCCAAGCGTCTGTGGAGTGGAAGGCCGATTTAAACGCCTAATTGTAAGTATTGTTAATGTTTTTGTCTTGATATTCATTTAAGTTGTATTTTTTCGAAAAACGGAAAATGTAGTTCCGTCTAGGATCGATTTAGGCTTCAAATTAATGGTCTAAGCTGTTACAAAAAGAAAATTATATAAGCCCGGGAGAACTTTTCTCCCTGACGAAGCGAACGGCGATTTGTAGAATATTGAACTTCCCGACCATAGAAATGCCATACCCTTCGGATTTCTTGAAAAAGTGTATTAGTAAATTATCAACCCGTAATAAGAACTTGTCCTTCGTGCAAAATAAATTACTCCTGAAGGATTTCTTAAATTTGTAAATCGATATTTTTCGAAAGTAGTGGAGCGAAAGGGCAAGAGATGGAGCGCAAGGCGGTTCAATACTCTACAAATCGTCGTTCGCTTCGTCAGGGAGAAAAGTTCTCCCGGGCTTAATATAATTGTCTTTTTGTAACAGCTTAGATCATTGAACCGCTTTAAATTAGACACTTTAGAGAAAAATCCTGAAAAATCTCGAGGGTGACTTTTTTTTAGTTTACAAAAATAGTTTAATTTTTATTCAACCTCGTTTTGTTAATTCACACGAGGCAAAAGTTCATTTCCATTTTTAATGGGACGTACAGACTATAGGTTAGACCGAAATACCGCATCCGTTCTGTGTATTCATACTATTGTGTTCGAGGTCCTTATCCGAAGACTGACGGAAAGGGCCGAGTAGTTGCGATTGGGGGCATAGTAGTCTGGATTACCTGCCCTTTTCTCTCCGTACTAAATTTTATAGTACGACGGGAACCAGACTAGGGGCATAGGCACTTGGTTTCGGGATAAAAAGCCCTTTTGAGAGGTTTGTAGAACTCAAATTTGATTGAATAGTATTACATAATTTTCTTGATTCTAAAACGTCATTTTCCTGATGCTACCAAAAAAAAATACAGTAACACCGGAAGAATCGAGACATCTACGTTACTGTATGTACAGTACATTCAAACACGGATTTAATTATGTGTAGATCTACAAAGTAATTAAGAATTTAAGATCCGTGATTCGATCAACTTAGAGTTCTACAAACCTCTTTTAAAAAAGGGTTTTATGCCTATGGTCTATTATAGGCATATCTAAGGCATATCATGCCTCGGTGATAAATATTATTTTCTTTGGCAAGATAATGTTAATAAGTAGATAATATATTTAAATAATTATAAAAATGGATTCGGAGCATTATGGATGCTTTTCATTGGTAGAAAAAAGAGCTGAATATGAAAAAAAACATGAAGGGTGGCAAAATGTAAACAAAGTAGTATTTTGAATTCCATATAAAATACTATTTTAAGTCACTTTTATCTTAAGTCACTATAAAATTCAACAAAGAACAGAAAATTCATGCTGTTAAGTTTTATGACCTTTAACAAAATAAAGAAAATATATCAAGTTTTAGGGGGAAATAATTCTGGAAATTTTCAGACTAGACATATATTTGAAGTTTGAAGTAGATACCTTAAGATATAAAGAAGTTAAAGTAGAAAATAACATTTTTTGAGGGAATAAAATCTTAGTTCATGCATGGGGAGATAATTCTGGGGGAAATAGGTAAACACTGTCACATATGATGTGGTTGATGTATAGTATAGTATAGTATAGTATAGTATAGTATAGTATAGTATAGTATAGTATAGTATAGTATAGTATAGTATAGTATAGTATAGTATAGTATAGTATAGTATAGTATAGTATAGTATAGTATAGTATAGTATAGTATAGTATAGTATAGTATAGTATAGTATAGTATAGTATAGTATAGTATAGGTATAGGTATAGGTATAGGTATAGGTATAGGTATAGGTATAGGTATAGGTATAGTATAGTATAGTATATTTTGAAAATGCATCAGTTATATACATAAAACTTGCAACACGAACATTAAAGAATGAGAATATCATTTTTGTCAGGGAGATACAAAACATTTTCAGTATGTCTTTGTTTCTTCTACATGTAATTCTGTCGACTGTATATACCATGGTTTTTAAAATGGTATGAAAAAATAGAATATATCTCTGTTAGAAAAATTATTAAATTTAATAATTAACTAAATTTTGAATAAATCAATATTATTTATTAGCAGACATTGTTAGTCAGTAAATATTCGACATTATTAAATTTAGCTAGTAAACGAATCATATATTGGGACATAAAACATCCTTTAAAACATCCTTTAAATGGTTAAGTGATACTGTTTTCATCAACTACATCTTATGTGACAAGGTTCATAACTCTACAAGCAATATTTCCAGAATTATCTCCCCTTGAACTTGAATTTTCCTTAGAAAATATTATTTGTCAACTTGGGTGGTTCCAGACTTGGGTGGATCCAGTACTACTGTATAATTGCCCTTAGGGTATGGTGCCTACTTTTATTAAATTTTCTTTGAAGTCTTATTTGTGATACGCAGGCTTTATAAGATCAGATACCCTTTGACAATTCCATTTTATTTAATTCGGCCCATTGTTTTCTCCTTTAGGGCACACGAAAGTGTCACATTGAAGGTTCCATGATAACCGCTGTATGAACACATCTGTGCAGATCTTTCTTAATTCCAAAAATTCCATATTTTTCATATCTAAATGTTGAGATCTGCTTAAGCCGGTGCTAGGGGGGCATGGACGGTAATTTGCACTTTCCAGAACCGTGCATGAACAGGCTCAATGAAAATCAGCCTGCAAATCTTTTTTTTTTTTTTTTTGGGGGGGGGGGGGGGGGGGGGGGGGGGGGGGGGGGGGGGGGGGGGGGGGGGGGGGGGGGGCGTTATTAAGGGTTTCCGTTTTCTCTATTTTTAGGTAAAAATGAAAAAAAAAAGTCTGACAATCATTGTTATAATCAATTTATGTAGAAAAATGTACATGCATAAAAATAATGAACTAAATATATACATGTATGTATCAAATGCATGTAAGAACTTATTGTCTGGATAGTCATACTGGCCTGCAGACATGTGTAAATTTTCAAATAAGTTTAGTGATAAATAAGATATGGAGGCGCACGCAAACTAATTATATAACGCTACATGGTGAGTAGGACACATTCATCGACTATTCTAGCTAAATCTGGTATGAAAGAAAAAGGAACAAACAAACAATCATTTTAACTTTATTTATTTCATTCTTTTCCGAATGTCATTGTCTAAAAAAGTCTCTCCGTGTATAATATACATCATGCATCTCCGTTCAGCTGTTTTATTACAAGTCTGCCCTGTGATCATGAAACAGTTTCTATAAGTGGGTCTTTTATGCTCTAATTTAACCTTTTGCATAAATTTATTTTGCAAACAACTATACATGCAAACTATTCTTATAATATCATTTATAAAAACCTATAAATGTCTTCAACTCAAGTAGCACTAGACTTTAAAACCTTGAACAAAAAAATCTGTCCCAGTCTGGTCTGAACATACGTCCAATTTGACTAATAACTTTTTGAACATAGAAGTCCAATGTAAACAAAATGTTCGCTAAAAATGACTCTCGTCACCTATGAAACGATTTTGTAGCACTTTTCCTGACGTCTTGTATATTAAACTTCATACAATTCTTAAAATTATCAAGATGGCAAACGTAACTGTAATATTAAGCCAGCCCACTTTTGTCACGTGACTTGCAGTTGAACGAATCAATGAAGCGGACAGTGTCTGTGACGTGGTGACGTTGTATGGTACGGCGACATTGCAGTAAGATCTTGTGCAGCACGAGATACATTCCTAAAAAATAAATAAAAAAATAAAAGGTTTACTTTTAATTGGTATGTTTGTGATACTTTTAATTGGTATGTTTGTGATACATATATAAATTCTGGAAATGTTTTGTGGAACTTTGCGTTTCATTTGAACAGGGTTTGGTGTTGATCTAATAAGGAATGAGAACACAACGAATTAACAGTACAATACAATAAATTAGTTTAATGGACATTTATATAATGTTTGAGATTGAACTTACGATTTCTCCTTCTAAACCTGTTGCCTTGCAACCTACGTGATCATTGCTGCACTGGTCTGGCATGGCACACATTTTGTCGACTTGTATACTTTCGCCGGTTCTATCGTTTATACGATGCACAGTCATGCATACCGTGTGTCCTAAAGAATATAAATGTATACATTTAATTAAGATTTTTCTTACAACAACAATATATGATTATACGATTTGTGAAAATGGTAAAATGGTATTTTCTGAGATAATACGTTTGCCATGTATTGAAAAGCAATCATACCCTCCACATTCTGAAATAAGTTCAGATGCAGTTATTATACGTTGGGTAATTATTGAAAATGTTAAAGTGACGCTATGCTTTTCTCAGTGTCGAGTTGAAACGGAAAGGAGAAGAATTTCAAACGACATGGTGTCTTTCATTCTAATACTGTTTTTAAAGTGTTTTTTTTTTTTTTTTTAAAGAATATTTGAATTGCTCTGGGTATATTGTAAATTGTAACATTCTGAGAAATAAAATATGTTTAAACTAAGCAGAAATATATTTCAAAAGACTGGCTATTATAATTGTGATAGATCAATACTTGATAATGAAAAATGGCTATGATACAATATAGAAAAACTAAATTATAAAAAAAAACTGCACCACACTTTTAAAGAATTGAGCATTACCAATTTTACATTATGAATGATATTAAAAGAATTTTTTATTGGACACATGAATTATTGTATTTCAGGTTATCAGAAACATCATAGTCTGTGTAACTGAAATGTTTTGTATCCATGTATATAGTTTTAGCACGAAGCCTACCAAGCATAAAGGACTGGATCGCCAATAAGATTCAATATTTGAGTCATTGCACGGGTTACAATATACATGTACTTACTGAATGGACATGGTATGTTAGGCGCCCAATTGTTGCATTGTTCGTTATCCTTCTTCATCGGGCACGTGTAACATGTCAACGCTGAAAAAAAAGATGAACATCATTGTTATTATTATCAGAGACGTTAAAATATTATGTATATATGTCTCTGTTATGATATAGCTGTTTAAAAGCACTGTGTAGCAGTAAGATTTTATTAAAAGAATATGTTGTATTATGGCTACTTTTCAGCTTCGAAGAAAACTCCGATTCTGAACTTTTTCATTCATACATTATATTTTACACGTGTGAGACACTTCAGTCTTGTTAATCGGATTCATCACTTAAGGTGAACATTAGTTAGTATCCTTTCTCTTTCAGTATATTTTGTGCACATATTATTTTATACAGATTTGAAAGCTTTACTTTTCCGATATTCCGATCAAAATTTAACCTAATCAGGGAAAAATTGTAAGCATTATTACCAATAAAATTAATGATACACACCTTCAAAGTTCCGGTAATCTATATGGATGTGTACACCAAATGTCCCTGTCGTCATGACAACCAAAAGTACCAAAGCAAAACTCACCAGGTAGGTCATTTTCTATAATCTGAAAAACAAAACGTGTGCTTAAAACATACGATATTTGACAAGAAGGTCAGACGAGTAATTCTTTCCATCATAAATGATGCATGTTATGTATATTTACTTATGATGTATATTTACTTAAGTGTATAAACTAAAACTATTTTCAAAGACAGTGCAAGATTTTGATGAAAACTTCCAATGACAGAGAAAAAATACCGAACAAAGAAACAAAACTACAAGAACCAGTACTTAAAAGTGTATAAACTAAAACTATTTACCAGGCAATGCAAAATTTTAATGAAAACTTTCAAAAGTAATATTAATAATAATATTAGGTGAGCTACCGAATAAAGAAATAAAAATACAACAGCCGAAGCCGAAAATCAAAAATAATTTCTTACCTTTAAAGGTGTTTTATCCTGAACTAAATCCAATCACGAGAAGCACAAGGTAAAGAATAAAGTTGTATGTTAATGTATAAAGTTGTTTTAGTATATTAGATAAGTCCTGGCATGAATGCTTGTTCCAAAATAACAGTATGGCTTTGTATTTATTTATTTATTTTGTACTTATATACTTTATGCCTTTATCGTGTAATTAGTGTTAAAAGTAACACTCTAAACACATTATTGTCTAATTATCAAATAGATCGGTGACTACAAAGGGCAATGTGATGACGGTATCGGGGCACGTGAACAGAACAGAACAGATCTCTTTATTTCTTTCCCAGGGTACATGGTAATACAACATGGGGATATACTATAAACTGTATAGTGTGCGCATGCTCGAAAATGGCGGACGTATTTTTTCAAATGTTTTCGATAGTTAGAAAAATCGGTGATTAGAACATATATATGGATATATAAATGTTTCTACAATGAATTAATACATTACTGGCATCTTAATTTATCTGTTTCATATATAATACGGACTTTTATTGGTTTTCTAATGACAAGAAAACGTAAAAAGGACAATATTTCTCCGTTGAACGATAACAAAGAAACAAAGAGAAAGATGGCGGCAAACACTCAACAAAACTTTCAGTCTCCAAATCTTCAACAAGCAGCTTCTCCAGCACAGGTTGTCAATATGGTATCGGTCAGTCTTTTATGCTGCCGCTCTCTGTATCATCCATCATCCCCTTTCGTAACAAATCAAACATCACCTATATTATCTCAGCAAAATGTAAACAATTTTAAATACGGACATTTTACAGGGATTATACAACGTTTGGACAGTATGGACGCTAAACTTGGCCAATTGAATAAAATTCAATCAACTGTCGAGAAAAAAAACGGAACGCTTAAACAGCCTTGATCAAAAGTTTCAACGAGATTGAACGTAGTCACGCTTTTATAAGCGAACAGTATGATAGTGTAACGGCACGTTCTATCGAAAAAAATAAAGGCGATATTTCTCAATTACGTAGTGATGTCAAATTTCTGACTGCTGAGAATGAAAAATTAAAGTCGGCAAACGATTCATGTAACGAAAATATTATTGATTTGAAATGTCGCTCTATGCGAGATAATCTCCTGTTCTTCGGAGTTGCCGAGGGTACTACGTTCAATCCCGCTCCTCTTGGCGGTGTTCAATCAACCGTGACGGATTCTACGGGGTTCACTGACAACACTTCTACTAACCAGACTTCTACAATCTCGACGTCTGATGATTTCCATGAACCTGCTGGACATGGTAGTATTAGTGCACCAGCTTTGTTTTCTTCTGTCGTAAAAAGTGATCATGAAAATTGTGTTGATAAGGTATTCACTTTCTGTGACAAAATCCTGCGCATTAATGATCCTCGTTCTAAGATTAACATAATACGTGCACATAGAGTGGGGAAATTTATATCAGGCAAAACTAGGCCCATCGTTGCAAAATTTGATTCAGAATCAAAATCTTTGATTAAAGAGTCACTTAAACATGTTAAATTACAGCATACAGATTACAATGTAGCAGATCAGTATCCACCGGAAGTGAAAGACCGCCGGAAGCAACTTATACCAGTGATGATTGATGCTAGGAAACAGGGAAAACGCGCGGTTCTTGTCAGGGATAAACTTTATATTGATAATGAATTATATGGTTCTAAATAGGGGGACAGAGAAAAGTGTGACAATTTGAAAATAATTTCATGGAATGTGGGAGGATTAAATTCTTGCGTAGATGATGAAGATTTTTTAGACTTGGTCCAAAATTTTGATATCATTTTTCTTAGTGAAACATGGCAAAAGAATGTTGAAGTTTTTTCTTTGAAAGGATATGATTCTGTTTATGTTCCCAGACCTGAAAGTATTAAATCTAAACGCGGACACGGTGGAATTTGCCTACTATTTAAAGAGCGATTGAATAACGGTATTTCTATTGTAGAATGTGATAACACTGGTTTTATATGGGTCAAACTTGATAAAACATTTTTTGGTTTTGAGTATGATTTATATATATGTTTTTTATATATCCCTCCTAGCAATTCTGTGTATTTTATGTCACATGAAGTAGGGTTTTTTGAATCACTTGAACATTATATTCGTAAATATAGTGAATATGGAAAAGTGTCAGTAATTGGCGACCTTAATGCTAGATGTGGTGAAAGGTCTGATATTTTAGAATGTACTGATAATTTTGATAAGTATATTTCAACTTTAGATAAAATGAATCGGAAGTTAGCATAAATGATATTCCTTATAGATTTTCTATGGATAAAATGATTAATTGCTCTGGTAAGAAGTTATTAGATATTTGTGTAAGCAGCGACTTAAAAATTGTGAATGGCCGTATTGGTGATGATGCAGGTGTTGGTAGTTTATACTTTTATGTCGTCAACTGGAAATAGCATGATTGATTACGTTCTTATGTCGCAAGATTTTTTCCACGTTATAAGTGATTTTATTGTACATGATTTATATACCTGCTCTAGTTATTTACCTATACAGCTTAACCTATGTTGTAACAGTGATCTAACATTGAATAATGTAAACAAAATAAATATTGATAAAATTATTTGGAATGATGATAGAAGCTATGAATATAAATCTTTGATAGAAAATGAATATACAAATCTTGAGTCAATCGTAAATAGCATAATTTCAGATGATACCGATATTAATACGGGTGTAGATAAATTTTCATCTATTCTTTATGAAAAAGCCTATAGCGTTTTTGGAAGGTCATTTAATGTGTCTAGGTCAAATAACCGTAAGTTTAAGAGTCCTTGGTACACGAAGGAATGTGAAACGGCTAGACGTGAGCTTCGCTCAATAAATAAGCATTATAAAAACAATAGAACCAATTGTAACGGTGCACTGCTCATTGAAAAGCGTCGTAAATATCGATTGGTTAAGCGCAAGGCACGTGCTACATTTAAGGCCAACCAAAAACAACAAGTCAAGTCAAGTCAAATTTCCTTTATTACACACATTTCATGTTAACATGAATAAATGTGGTTAGTAATAAATACAATGTTAGTAGAGGCTCTTTAAACAAATGTACAATGTATAATTATATAATTTGAGTGGTAAAATAATTCGTAGAAAGAGTATTTATTCATATCATTTGCTGAACTGCAGTACGTTCAATTAACAATGTTTCAAAACCACAAATTGTTAAAGTTCTTAGTAATATGTTACCACAAAAAACCGTGGAGAGTCACGTAATTTGGACACTCTCTAAGGGTATAATTTCGTTTCATATTACCTTTCTTTTCATTTATCGACAAACGATGAGAATAGTTACAAAAAAGGAAAAGGGAAAAGAAATAATAATATAAACAACTGGCAAGTGATGTACAATTATGTACGACATAATATTTTAAACCTTTACAATGACATTTCTAGACTCATACTTATAAGCTAAATGAAAAAAGTGTCATACTATTTAGACAAATATTATAACAAACAAACACTTTACAATGGGTAATAAATGATTTATCTGTGAAATATTCGTGTAATAGTCTTGGAATGTAAGTAATTCTTGAAATGTAAGTAATCACATATGAGGTAAATTCTAATTTTAATTATCTTAAAATTATTGTTTTAACAAATTTACATAATTTCAAATATTCGCTCTTGTTTTCTGTATTAATTAGTTGATCTAGTTTGAATGTATTTGCACGTCTATAATAATAGGGTTTCAAAAATTTCTTTCTTTCATCATTAAGCAAAACACATTCAAATAAGTAATGAAATTCGTCGCCTATTTTATTGTTACAAGAAGTACATGTTCTTTGATTGATTGGTATTCGGGCCCAATTTCCGGTTTCTATTGGTAATCTATGGTTTCGTGTACGAAATTTTATCATGTAACGAAGAAAAGGGTTAGGAGTTGATAAAATGTATTTTTCGAATTTAAATTCTTTTTTGAATATTCTATAGAATGTACTTTTGCTAGAGTTTTCAATAACGGAATACCAATCATTTAGAAAAACATCTTTTAGTTTCTGTCTAATTGCTAATTTCAACCACTTCTCGTTTTCAAAATTGTGTGTATCCCATATATTACATGAACCGCAATTTATAAAAATTTGTCTTAAGTTTGCAATCCAAGGAAATTTTTTCTCAAATTATTTTCACTTAAGTTTTTTGAAAGATTATATGTAATATTGTATAATAGAGACGACAATTTCTTTTGATGATTATTTACATCGTGCTTTTTTAATCTAGCCCAAAACATGATTATTCTTTCGTTTATATCAATAGATAGCGGCAGGCAGCCTGTTTCTCCGTACACCATATAATTTGGGGTGGATTTTTTCATATTTAAAATATACTTTAAAAATTTTAATTGGACTCGTTCAATCACTTCTTTATTACCATATCCCCATATTTCCGCCCCATAAAGAAGAATAGGTTTTATTGTTTTATTAAAAAGATCTATTTGGATATCAATTGGTAAACTAAGTCGATTTGAGTTTCTTATTAAACTATACATTGCTCTAGTAGCTTGTAATGCTATATGCTTTTTAGTTTTAGTATATGATCCACTTTTACAAAATAAAACTCCTAGATACTTGTACTCCGTAACTACCTCTAATCTTTCGTTGTTCAAGATAAAATTATAGT